TGGGCGCCGCCATTATTATTTACATGCACAGGAACTTGGTATTAGTTTCTAATATATGTGTATTATATAATGTATGATATAAAAAATGGGGACCATAGGATGGTAATTTGTCCCTGTGCCAGGTTCAATAATTTGAAAGCTTAGAGAACAAGGCTGAAAACATGTATGGAATGTGTTTTTTTTAAGGGAGTCTGTATAAACACATTATGAATATGTAAAATTATGATGGAAGTCCATTTTACTCGAATTACCTGACGTTATTTTCAATACCTTCAGTTCATCTATATTTCCACACTGTTCTCGGTATTCCGTCTATGCGTATTGCAGAGTTATCTTCTCTTGTGAGCAGGTATTGATTGTTACATCATTGGCTTGTGTGAGATAATTACGTCGTTTTCTCGAAAATTGATGACGTTACTCTCACAAACAAATGATGTAACAATCAATACCTGCTCACAAGAGAAGATAACTCTGCAATACGCAAAGACGGAATAAGGGATAGGAATCAGTTTGTTTTTTGGGTTTTATAAATCCTCGCAACCCTTTTTAAGTCATATGTATAAGAAAGGTCTGCCAAATATCTGATTCTTTGACAACTTTACTACAAATATATACCAGGATTTGAGCTTTCTATAGTAACTGCACTACACTTCATATTATTTGTTGACGTTTTTCTGCTACAATACATGGAGTTTCCTCACAAGATACTGGTAACCAAAAAGAATCTGAAACCTTAATCATATCTTTTAGAAATCTGTGTTTAACAAAAAAATGTTATACATGTATCTCTTCGATCCACTAAGCATCAACAAACAACATTTAAACCCTTCATTCCCTAAATCTGTTGTTAAAAGGATTGTAAAAAAAATGTGTTCGCTTAAATGTTAAAATATTTCTGTTCAACATTCATATTTACAGTGGTGTTAAAATCCACTAATACGTAAGTTGACATAAAATTGTACTGCAGTATTTTTTGGTCTGATTTTTGACAGCTAAATAAGTCTCATCAAGGGTCATTGACCTGTCAGAAGTTGCAGTAGGCAAAGTTATTTGACTTTGGTATGCAATCATCCTAAAAATAGAAGAAAGTAAGGGCTGGATTTTCATGAACTTGAAGAGTTGTGCCCCTTTTGTTTTATTTCCTATACATCTTATTCTGCCAGTTTATCATTCATATTTTTATTTTTCCATTTGTTATGCACTTCATATACATCTGATGAGAATGAGAGATATTTAAAAATGCACAAAATTCGCCAAGAAAGCTGAAAGTTACAAAAGGCCAAAAGGTGAAACTTGACACCATGCACGCCGGGTTTGAACATTTTACTGTATTGTTTGTTTTACTTTCCATGTGGGGAGGATTTTTAATGCATCTCGACTGTTATATTAATCAATTAATTTTCATTTAGATGGTGTCCCTGAGAATTATTTCTTATATAATTTTAAAATTTGTTTCAAGTAATACTCATACTCTCTGTTTTAAACTAGGAACACTTGCTAGGTACTCTAAGTATTTGTGCGGTTATGATTGATTGTCTTCCTTTGGATAATATTTCTGTGAGTTGTGTCCCTCACATGATTTCCTCACATTTTTTTCTGTTATATATCGGATATAGTTTGTTACTTCTGTAAGTTCCAAGTTTCCTTTTAGATAAAATATGTCATGTTTAGGTGATTTTTGAGAATTGGTGGTTTTGCGAAATTTGCTTTTTGTTTTGCAAGGTACCAATATTTTTTTGTTTATAACATATATAGGGTGCTCCCATAGCTACCACTTTCTTTAAAATGTAGATTTTCTTCCCGCTGTTTTTGGAAAAAAACATCCAGAAATTTTAGAAAGTTTTGAAGTTTTGCTTAAAACTTACCATACTGACAATGTCAGACAATTTCAGACATGCGAAACATATAATAATGTGTAATTCTTCTTGAATTTGGTGTACAGATAGATCTTGAATTGACAGATCTGTCAGATCAGCACAAATTACTTATATTGGAGTCTACATAAAGAGTTATGTCCCTTTACTTTCTTTTTCAAGATTACATGAATCAAACAATTTTCTACTCGAGTCATCGAATCTATCAAAACATAATTTACATACAATGTACATGGGGGAGGGGCTAAAAGTTCGCCCCCTTAAGAATCGGGGATTTATTTTCATGTCTACTACTTGGGGGACATTGAACAGACCAAAATAGATCTTCTGCCCCCATTGCAACACACTTGGGATCTTAAATCTTTCCTTTCTTTCTTCACTGTTCTGCCTTTCCTTGGTTGTGCCGCCTGAGAAGCATGGCGAAAACTTAAGGATCAGTCTGTCCGTCATCACACATTGTCATTTGCGGCGGCAGTCACATTTAAGTTTTCCAGACTTTGTTTGGCCACCATTTACCATATCAATTTGTAACTTTGTATGTGGCTTAATCATAATAGATTACAGATTAGATTAAGTTTGAATCACATGCTAATATTTTATTTTTTTGCTGGAGTTACATGTATGGCCCTTCACACATTGGAAGTTCTCATAATTAACTGTTTGCCATACTTTGTTCGTTACCACTTGCCACTTAGTATGCGGCTTTATCATAATGGATTACAGTTAGAGTCCAAACCCTGTGTCAATATTTCATTTGTTGCTGGAGTTATGGCCCTTCGCACATAAGAAATCTCATAATTAATGTTTTCCCAGACTTTTTTTCGCTACCACTTGCAACATCAATTTGTTACCTAATATGTGGCTTTGTCATAATGGATTACAGTTTGAGTTCAAATCCCGTGTAAACATTCCTTTTTTTGCTGGAGTTATGGCCCTTCGCACATAAGAAATTATCAAAATAAACTTTTGTTTGGACTTATTTCGCTACCGCTTGCCATATCAATTTGAAACTTTGTTTGTGGCTTTATCATAATAGATTACAGAGTTTGAACCATGTATTAAAATTCCATTTTTGACTGGAGTTATGGCACTTTTGCACATAGGAAATTCTCATAATTAACTGTTTTCCATATTATTTGCAACTTAGTATACATGTATAATGGATTACAGTTTGAGTTAGAATCCAGTGTCCATGTTCTAGTTTTTCTGGAGTTATAGCCCTTTGCACATAGGAAATTCTTATAAGTAACTGTATTTGTTCCGTCAACACATGCACTTCCTTCGAATTGCAGCTTTCTTCTATAGGTGACACCCGTCCTCATATGACCCTGGCTGTTCGAGGACATAAATCACCTGATACAGTACATCATTTGAAGTCCTTCTGTATGGCTTGATGATGTTTTCAAACCAATGGTCTAGAGCATTACTTGGTTAAGAAGACTGAATGCCGTTTAACAGAGAGTCTCTCTCATAATACTCTGGCTCCCTATGGGGAGTAGTGGGGTCCACAAGGGGGGTTCTCCGATTCAATTACACAATTTGTTGTTAGGACCCCTGCACATCTTTAGTAATCAGATTTTCCGTCTGTCCTTCTATCTGTTTTTAGCTCACCTGCCAAGGACAAGTGAGCTTTGGCCCTGGTGCGGCGCCCGGCATCCCGTCCTGTCCCGTTGCGTCGTGTCCCGTCTCTATTCAATGTAAACACTTAGCAACTTCATTCATTAACAGATTTTGGTCAAACTTTATACAAAGGTCAAGTTTGGGTATACTTCGGACATCTTTGTATTTCAGGGATCCAAGGTCAAGGCCAAGGTCACATTTGCTATATATAGAAAATCATCCTGTCCCGTCTCTATTCAATGTAAACACTTAGCAGCTTCATTCTTTCACGGATTTTGGTCAAACTTTATACATAGAAAATCATCAACTGATTCAATTTAAACACTTAGCAACTTCATCCAATATGTTATGGAGATAGTAATAACATACAGAAAAAACATATGAATATTAAAGTCAACTTATCAACTTTAAGTGTAGAACCTTGTGTGTGTGCATACATGGACTTTATGCAGTGTAATAAAATGTTTGCTTAACCTTTTGGATAGCTTTTCAGCCTTTGATATCAGAGGTCAAGGTCACTTACTATAAATAGAACATCAGTTTGTGCACTGTATTTCAAATTCTGTTGGACTGATTACACTCAGATTTTATCTTGTCCTTCCTGGAAGAACGTGCCTGCTTGGGATAACTTTTCAGGTCCAGTGGTCAAAGGTCAATGGGTCACTCTAAATAGAAAATCTGTTTAATGCACTAATGCACAATATCTTGATTTCTCTTGGGCTGATTACACTCTTGACTTTATACAGTGCTTCTTCAAAGAAAGTGCCTGCTTGGGACAACTTTCCAGGCCCGGGTGTTAGGTCTCTATCACTGTTACTATATGAATAGAGAATCAGTTTATAAAATGCACTACTTATATTTTGAGTTCTGTTGGGCTGATTACACTCAAGACTTTATCCATTGCTTTTATAAAAAAAACACACTTGCTTTCACTAGTGTTTGTTACATGTATACCTAACTACAGTTTCTTTAAAATCTTCAATACACATAATTATGGATAATAGTCACGGCGGCATTTAAGATATATATATAAATCTTATTACCGGTTAGCTTGTAATAATAATAATAATAATGATAATAATTAGAGGTTCTTATATACCGCTTTATCACAACCTAGTCCGGAGGACGTCTCAAAGCGGTTCACAAATAATTATCCGTGTTCGTAGGGTCTTTGCAACCAGCTCATCTTTCCCTGGGGAGCATACAGCCGGAGCTACCATTTCGGCGCTAGCAGCTAGCATTCAACAATTCTAGCACTGCCCAACCACATACTCATTTACAGCTAAGTAGACAAGCGGAGTAGAGTATTTTGCTCAAGGAGACAACACAGAGCCGTGTCCGATCTCTAGTCCTCCAAGACTAGGTCACGGGTTCGAGGCCTTCATGAGGCAGTCGTCAGGTACTGGACGCCGGTCGGTGTTTTTTTACTGGGGTACTCTAGCTCTCCTTTACATGACTGTATATTTTAATAGGACGTAAAACACAAACAAGCAATAAGACTTTTTGCAATGTGTAAATAATATATTTCAAGGAGGTTCATATAAAAAATACAGAAAAATTAAAGTCTTGCAACCAATTGAAGGCCGTACCACAAACTCAAACATAACAATCCGTTCACAAACTGCGGAAGTTGTCAGCTTTGCGTTAATGTCGTTCAATGTATCCATTTAATCAGCATTCCAGTGGTGAGTACTTTAGGCTGAAAAGATACGACACCAGATTTAGGTCATCGACAAATCAAGACCATTTTCATGTAATTGTCAGTGCATGAAGTTTTATATCAATAATTCAGCTATTGAACATAACGTGTAGTTCCTCTAAAATTGCAACTATAATTTGAAAAAAAGAATGGAGCAGTAATTGGACAAATTTCATTGGTATTTTTTTTCTTGATGGCTGGTTGAAAACAAAATGTCCTCCTATTATTACAAACACTGCTTGCGAACGAAAATCATTAGCCTTTATAGGTAGAACGGTGACGCTTTCAACTTATTTACAAATTTGAGCTTTGGATGAATTCCACTTAACTGCCTTAACTATAAATTGGGGTCCTCGAGGTAACCATTAATCGGGGTTCCAAAGTTAATCTTAAACAGGGGCACGCTAGGAAATCATAAATCAGAGCCCCCTATGTAACCATAATCCGGGGCACCTAGGTAAATAGAAACTGAGTTCCCCAAGGTAACCATAAACCGGGGCCCCTAGGTAATTAGAAACTGAGGTTCCCTAGGTAACCATAAACTGGGACCCCTTAGTAGCCATTTACTGAGACCTCTTATTAACAATAAATCGGGATCCCCGCAGTTACCATTAAATTAGCCGATAATTATTCTATTGGTTTTTTTTCAACTTTTTTTTGTCGATTGAAGTTGACAACACATCATCGACCACTGAAGTTTTTGTTATTTTTAACTAATCATCAGTGTAGCTTATTACATTTATGAATTATTATAATCTTTACCGATTTACTTGATTTATATTTCGAATAAAATGTTCATCAAAACACAACTTACGACATGTTCCTGTCTGCAAGATTAAAGAATCAATGGCTATGTCTCCTTTACTGCCAGTCCCGCGGCGGCCTTCAATCATGATCTGGAAAAAAAAATTCTGATAAGTTTTCACCTTCACTGTCTATTCTATAATATCAGTAACTAAAAATGATATTTCTTTTTTTAGAGTTATCCCCCTTAAATTCGTTTACCTTACGTGACACATCATGCTCATTGGTAATATGTTGTCAATACATAATCATAGTACATGTTTTAAAATTGCTATCAATACATTGTAAAGGTTACAAGATACCTTTGATAACTCTCTACCTGTGTGGAACCCTTTTTAGAGATGCCATGTATTTCAAAGTTATAAATCATTTTTGTGGCAGCTTTAAACGTTATCGTTAACAATTTTCCGTTGTTGCTCATCTTTAATGGTACGTTCCTTATTAGATTTTATTTGAATTGCATTCTATTAAAATCAACAATTTAACCGATTAAAGTGTATCTAGGGTGGTTGTAGTAAATTCCAGAAAGTGTCACATTTTTGTATTTTGCGTAATGTCACATTGCAGTAATTTGAAAATGGTGCCATATTGTGAGTGTTTTATAAAGAAGCGTCCCATCCCGTTGTTAGTATTTAATATTGTAGTGTACCATTGTGTGTATATAGTGAAGAAGTGTTCAATTGTTGGTGTATAGTAAAGGAGTGTCCATGGTTAGTATATAATAAAGTAGTGTCCATGGTTAGTATATAATAAAGGAGTGTCCCATTGTTTGCATATAGTAAAACAGTGCCCCATTGTTAGTATATAATAAAGTAGGGACCAAATGTTAGTTAATTGTAGTCTTGCTGCATTAATTGCAAATCAAATTTCCTTACCACCACGTCATCAGCCGCAGGGATATTTGTTTTGACCATAACCCAACTGTTTCCCTGTTCCCCGGTAATTGTTTGCCGTGGCCTCTTGCTTCCAGCCCGACCACCACTTAACACGCGAAGACGATTAATGTCAGATCCGTACATGTAGTAAGCATACTGAAGACAACGATTTCCACCTGGAACAGTGAGGATAGATTCACATTAGATGGTATTTAAGAAGGTTAGACAAACTAGTTTTTGATAGTGTAGTTTAAACATTTTATTCGTTATGTATATTTCATTTTAACGAAGTAATATTTACATTCAAAATAAATTAATGAAGAGACTTAACAGTTATTAGTATTTGTTTGAAAATGTCCTTGTTCAATTGAAATATGATTTGGAAACCAGTGTCACTATGAAATAGTATGCAGGATATGTAAATAACATGCACGCTTTAGATTTTCAAATATGCAATGTTGATCTGTTATTCTGTACGTTGAATACTCACGTGACATACTGGTCTGGTATAATGCTCACGTGATTAATAAAATATGTTACCTGTAACTGAGCGAGATAAGGTTATATCAGTCGAGGGCTAAGCTTACGTAACATAGTCCAAACCGAGGAGTTAAGCCTAGGTTGGGATGTTACAGAATCTTCGCCCAAGACTGAGATAACCGATCTCGCACAGTGACAGGCACTCGTTGTTTTTCTCGTACCTTTTAGTTTGCAAAAATTATTCTTTTTGCTAAAGATTAAAAGTATCCTGTCTGGGGCCCCAACTAAATATGGCTTCTGCACTACTAAAGCTCAATTTGAATGATTCCGCATAAAAAGTAGTCCGTCCTTACAACGAAGAAGTAATTTACAGTGTAGATTATATTTACCTACAAAATCATTTTTTTTTACAATAACAATAAATATTGGAACGACAAAACAGAATTTTTGCAATGCAGATTGTCAATTTCGAGCCGTTAAAGCACGACTGAAGGAAATGCTGTGTAAAAATTCCGCGAAATGACACTTAAAGTACCAGACAGATTGGACGAGATAGGAAAATCAGGCACGGGGTGTGACGTTGGATATGTCTGTCTGAAGTACAGAAAATGCTAATCTGTTCTATTGTGAACACTCACTTGACATGTCTGTCTGGTATGTGGTCAACACTTACGTGTCATACTAAGATGTTCTGTGGTCAATCTGGCAATGTCTCCGTTAGACCTGGGTGAGCTGGTTTCAATGAAGGCGTAGCGGTTACCGGTATATGGAGCTGTTGGCCCAGTGTTGAGGGTAGGAGTCGGTCCCTAGCCAAAAGAAGTTTTCACAATAAATTCCATATCCAAATTTGTTATACCGATATAGAGAAATGAATTGTGAGACAAAAAGAAGGTGTTTCCGAGATATGTAAATTTGAAAAATAGGATAACTTAAAATATGAGAGGTCATGATTAAGATTGGAGATTAATTGAATTTATTTATTAATTCAAAAAATGGTGATTTTTAGGATTGTTAAATGTAGATGTGTAAGAAGATAAAGTGAAATATGACATCACAGCGGATTTATATTTACATTGTAGATTGGAACTTATGGGAAGACAGACTATATATATAATGCAATTGTTGTGGGTTTTTTTTCTGTGTCTCGATAAAGGAGCGGATTGCTCCGAAGATTTGACAACATAATATTGTCTACACTGTAAAAGTTACTTCCTTGCCCCATATAAAACTTGAAGTAATTCGTATCCATGAAACATAGGTTTACAAGGATCCAGTGAAATAGGGATGCTACCGATAATATTACTTCTTAACCCATATATATTGTATATAGCTAGAGAAACATGTCACTTATTATGGCAAATAAAAAATTGGAAGTTAGGGGTAAACTATGTATACAAGTAACAGTATATGTATATTGGTGGTAGTATCGTAGTTAGATAAACTTACATTTGCCAGGCTCCAATCAAAATCATCAGTTTTATCTTGCTTGAAAAAGCAATCTGATCCCACTTCCAGCGTGCATGACATGACAGACACCGCTGAGAACAGAAAGTAAACGTTCTTTAACTTTTACTAATGACAGAAAGTAAACGTTCTTTAACTTTTACTTATGACAGAAAGTAAACGTTGGTGTCAACAACTGGTAACAATATCACAAAATTATACGTATGGACAAAGTACAACGTGAGGTTTACATACCATGTTTTTTAATATCACAGTTGAGGGATTTATGATAACTATCGATCATACAGAATACAGTACTAAGTAAATCACCGTTAAAGGGTTTTATTAGAAATTGCAAGTCTTTCTACAGAAATAAAACAATATACGTGTATCTGGTATGACGTCACGTGTGTGATGTACAGAAATACTCACTGTATTGTTCACAATTATCGCCCTCGAAGGAAGACGTACAGCTACACGTGAAGCCGTTTGCGTTATTTGCATCATTGCAGGTTCCTCCATTGAGACATGGGTCACCACGGCAACCTAAACAGAGGTTCATGTATTGCAGATTAATTTTGTGTTTTCAAAAGAAAAAAATATGTGTTTTTAAATTAATATCACACAAGGATATGTGATTCATCGCATTGTGTATGGATATTGAACTACCATTATTTTTGACAAGATAACATATATAAACTTATTACCTAATTGTTTTGAACATAGTAAGATATGTTTATAAACACTTATTACTTTCCCCTGTCTCCTGACAGTTAGTTAAGAAGTCGTTTCGTCGTATTGACGTCACTATTTGGCCAGTTGTTAGCGATATCAGTAGTCTAATTGCTTTTATATAAACAATTTAAATAAAAATCTTCCTCACCACAGTTTCCAAGAGAAAACATTACGTTGTCGATGGCTATGTCGCTGGTCTTTGACGGTCCTCGGACAGCCTCAAACACTGGCTATATACAAACACATGGAATAAGACAGAGGAACGCCGATTATTCGTACTTAATAATCTAATCAACGCCTTAATGCCAGAAGATGTTAACAATGTACAGCAAAGTGCATGTAGAAAGTAACAAACTTTATACACCGTTGCAACCCCCCTATCCCCAGCCGAACAAACAAAAAACTGAGAGATTTATAAATGGAAAAGTTCGCAATGTTAAATGCATTTCTAATATAAATAAAATATGTACATTCATGGAAAATGATTTAATTTACTCGAATATAAAGTATTCCTTTACTGCTACAGATGTCGGCAGGGAGAAGTTTACATCAATGATGACTTACCGATACAGATGATGACGAGGGGAAGAAGACGGCGCCAGTGTTCCAGGAATTGCCCTGGTCTCCAGATCGGGACCATAAGTCTGACGACCCATCTTTCACGTTTAGTGTGCCAATACCACTCCCGTGCATGTGGTAGTCGAAAAATAAACACCGGTCGGCCGCTAAATCGACGACGAACATAAAACGAAACGATGAACCAAACTGTTATTACATTTGTACAAGATTGGCAATACCAATCATGAATCTATTAAAAGGGTCATCAAAACAGTAATTGGAACTCAAGATCAACCAAACTTCGGCAAACAATGTACAAATGAACGAATCAAAGAGAAACTCTTTAAAAAGGACAAAAAAGATAAGACCAGATGTTCCGGAAGGGTAGCATTTTCTGCTTCATTGAACAAACCTGCCATTAAAATGTATTGTAAATGTTATTTTATCAATGAGAGAACCACAGAAATGACAACGAATCTAAATGATCCACTTATGAGAATCAACAAAATAGTTTCGAACATCATCGCACACTGAACACAACAAAGGTATAAATCTCCTTTTTCAAATTCTTCCTCGGTATACTTAATCTTGGACATAGTCGTTTTGTTCAGAAAATATGCTCAAATATGGTTTCAAATTTCATGACTATAAAATCGTTGGCCTTTCATGTAAAAGAAAGATATCACATTAAGATAATGAAGGCGTTCCTTTAGCTGAATTTGACGTATGTTTTTATAATGAGTGGAAAAGTCTAGATTTTCGAAACGACGGATCAATTATAACGGACAAATACCAAAATAGAAAATTAGGGAAGCAAACTTGGTAATGACGTTTAATTTATAAGAATAACGTTAAATAATTGGTAATGACGATAAAGCTACAACGGCCTTATAATATATCTTGTAATGACGGTTTAATTACTAGGGACATGTACACTATGTTGTGATAACGGTTTTAGTAGTGGCTACTGACATTTTGTTATTTATTTGATACTAAAGATTAATGTACTTCATTGTAGATACAAATGTAGTGCTTGGAAATAGTTGTTTAACTGCTAAGGACATTATTACTTACTTGCTTATGGCATTTGGTTACAAGGGACATGTTCAATAAAATAGTTCATTTAGATGGTTGAGATACGACAGGAATGGAAAATATATTGAGTCGGCGGTTTCGTCACAAGGAAAAAAATACTATTCTTAGTAATGCGGTTATATCAACTGGTGACATGTAAAATACTTAAGGATTTGTTGTCATATTTTTGACATGCATTGGTGTGTAACATACATTGGCTTACCTACATATTGAATGGTGCGCGTACCAATGCATGTCAAAAATATGACAACCAATACTTATATTTACATTTTATGTTGATTATTTTACAGTTCAAGCAGAAATAAAGACATAATATTAGTCTGAACACGTTTCAACGTCAGGGTAAATCCATACAGAGAACAGTCACCAGTTGACAGTGGAGCAGTGCAATCTCCAACGATACAGTTATGACGTCATAAGCGTAGCGACGTCACACTGGCCAAATGTATGTTATACGGAAATATTTACATTTGCACTGCATAGGGCCTAGATAACTCTACTGGTCCCATTGTAACATATTTTCCAATGAACTACAACGGGGATTAGGTCAGTGTAGTGATACACTGACCTAATTACCGCCAAGTGGCGATGTTCCGCTGTGTTGTGTTTTAGAATGTTATTGTATGACAGTTAAATCGCTTAATGACCACAACATATATTAAAATGGTCACATGTTAGTATACAAATTGGTAATTGACATATATGCATTTAAATAAAAAATAATCTATTATTAAATTGATTTGGTTACTGTGGAACTTTCTTGTTTATTGTTTATGTCGGCCTGGTTGCCCTTGACAACGACTGTGGAATGCGAAACTACCCGGCTGTTCCGAACAATTTACCGCTGACCCAGTCGGTGTGTATAAGAGTTTTAAAACAGCAATTAACAATACTCGCAACATTGCAGAACTAATATTGTTGGTTTGGAATATAAATATAACGATTGGTTGTCATATTTTTGACGTTTATTGGCGTGTAAACCACATCGGGCTTGCGATATATTTAACATGGTGCGCTTACGCTTACGCGCACCATGTTAAATATATCGCAAGCCCGATGTGGTTTACACGCCAATAAACGTCAAAAATATGACAACCAATCCTTAGATAACATACATTGAGCCCAGTAGAAACATCTAGGTTCTGTGCAGTGGAAATGTAAATATTTGGTAATGGCGGTTTACTGCAGGGGACATATACATGCATACCCGATACATTTATATTAGTTACTAGATGCATGTAGCATACCTGGGAACGAAGCATTGGATACCAGCCTTGCGACATCGTTTTCCACGCGTGGCATTGAGCCCTCTATAAACATGTACTGTCCGTTGGTTTGGGTATCCAAGTCAGAAGGCCCTGTTCCGGGCGTTGGCGTTGGGCCCTGTACAAAAACAACGATACCAAACATTTTATTAGGAATTTATTTTTGAACAGTCATTGCGAGGAAAATGATTTGTATAACATTTGGTACAAATGATAAAAAACACCGTAAATATGGTGAAAATATAGAACCAAACCTGATATATCAATAGAATACTAAACAAAGGAGGTTGGTTTAGATCCTAATTAATATATATAGAACAGAACATGAGTGGATAAGAAAAAGATACAAAATCATTTTTTGATAACAAACTGAACTTTGGTAGATACATATCAAACCAAACTTTGGTAGATAAATGTAGAACCATACTTAGTTACTAAAGTAGAGCAAAAATTTGGTAAATATATATATGGGCAGATAAAAGTACGGAACAAATGAAGAAAGACATATTTATTGAACAAAAGGAGTTTGTAATACGAGAGAGATAAGTGCTTAAATACATATGAAATAGAAATGATAAAGATAAATAAAGGAACGATATAAATATAAAACAATGATGTTAGTATGAACAAAATAACCAAAAAAGGGCAAAAACACCAGGTACATAACACTGGTATATAGAAAAACACATGAATAGATATATACGGAACAACACATGAATAGATAAATACGGAACAACACATGAATAGATAAATACGGAACAAAACACGGATAAAAATATACGGAATTTGTTGAATTGAAAAATATTTGTGCATATGCAGGTCCGTTATTTATCAGTACCCAGTCAACATGACATGTTTCGCCTATTGCTAATATCATATAATATATACTTACACTTATTTTTGTCCAGTCAAAGTCATCGTCATCAGCTTGGCGTAAGAAACAAGACGTGAACTCCTCAAACGTACAGCCGATGTTATGGCCAGGAACTGTAGCAACAAACAAATTAGTTAACTGGTTTTTATTCTGTGTCTATTTAACAGTTTTTTTCTTACTGTCCTTTCTGTGTTTTTTTCTAACAGTGTAAGCTATGTTTAACATCAGGATTATGGTTTAATCTTATATTATTTCCGAAAACTACTGCTTGAATGATCCTTTGTTCGCAGAGAATTGCATATTTTGTTTCATATTATCATAACATGTGTATCCATCACTTCAGAGGTTGCAAGGACAACAGAACTTATGTCACCAAGAAATAGGAATTCCATTTTTTTGTATCTTGTATTTTTTTGTCATACCTTAACACTGCATTGGTACTGAAAAGAATGCTTTTGTATTCCTCGTCTTGCGTTGGTATTGTCTTGTATTGCACACTGTCTTTTTCATTCATGTATATAATCTCGACGTTGACGAGGAATATATAATTACTTACCAATAACCTCACAGAAGGATCCCTCGTAACCAGGTAAGCAAACACACTCGGTGTCAATGTTAATGTTCAGTGTCACACAAAAACCGCCATTAAAACAAGGATTCGGGGTACAGCCTGTGAATAACAAGTCAAAGGACAAGGTTACACATAACTCAAAATACAAACGAATCATTGGACAAGGTAAAACAATAGTTAAAATATAAACAATTCACAAAAAGAAGCCACACAGAGCTCAAAATTCAAACAAGTCACAGTACAATGTCAAACAGAACTAACAGTTCAAACAAGTCACAGTACAATGTCATACAGATCTTACAGTTCAAACAATCCACAGTACCATGTCAAACAGAACTAACAGTTCAAACAAGTCACAGTACAATGTCATACCGAACTTACAGTTCAAACAAGTCACAGTACAATGTCATACTAAACTTACAGTTCAAACAATCCACAGTACAATGTCAAACATAACTTACAGTTAAAACAATCCACAGTACAATGTCATACCGAACTTACAGTTCAAACAATCCACAGTACAATGTCATACAGAACTTACAGTTCAAACAAGTCACAGTACAATGTCATACAGAACTAACAGTTCAAACAAGTCACAGTACAATGTCATACAGAACTTACAGTTCAAACAAATCCCATGATAAGGTCGTCCAGAACTCTAAATTCAAAGAAGCCACTAGGTAAGGTCACACACAACTCAAAATGCAAAAGATCACTGGACAAGGTCATACAGAATTTAAAGCTAACACAAGTCACATGATCAGGTCACATAGAACTCAAAATTTAAACGAGTCACAAGACAATGTCAAACAGAATTCAAAACTCTAACAAGTCACAAGATAAGGTCACATAGAACTCAAAATTCAAACCAGAGAGAGAAAACGTTTAGCCTGTAGGGAACAGTCAAGAAGAAAGGTTATCTCATTACGGTCATTGAAATGTAAGGGATACACACACACGTCAAAGGATATATATTTATATTTTAAAGCAATATACATAGTCACTTACCACACAAACCTTCCCTTAACGAAATGTCATCTAATGCTATATCACTATCACAGCTGGTTCCTCGTATAGCCTCAAATGTGATCTGAAAACACATACATGTGTATCTTTTTATATGACCATTGTGTATACGTTTAGGTTAATATGTTTCAAATCATTATAGCAATGATACTTTCGAGACGTATTTATACTTGTAGCTTTGACATCAATGACAGTGATATTGACATGTGAAAAATATAGAGTACGCAGTGCAGAAATACAAGTTACGCCGAATGCAAATTATGACTCTACCCGGACTTAAGAATAAGTTAACAGATAACCAGACAATTAGATAAATGTCTCTATATTTTTCAATATCTGTACCTCAGACGATGCTGGTATATCTACCGTATCTGTTGTAGAATACTTCCTTTTGGAATACCCCTAGGCATACCACTTTCGTTCATCATACAGTACCTGCTGGTTTGTCTAAAGCATCTGTTCTAGTATAATGCGTTTTGGCATACTATATTAACCGAATTTCGTTCATTCCACTTTACCTGTGGGTATATCTAAAATATATATTTTCGAATAGTTCATTTTGGGCTTATCTATCGACTTACGTTCATCCTTTAGTACCCCCTGGTTTATGTGTTTAACTATGATTGGTTTTGGCATACTGTATATATCACCTACGTCCATCCTGAAGTACCTGTTGATCTAATGATGCGAATATATCTATAACATCTATTCTAATATATTGATTATGGCATACCATATCTATCGATATATACCTGCAGTTATATATATATGTATTACATCTGTTCTAGCAGAATTAATTTATCACATACTGTATCTATTACCTACGTCCATCGTACAGTACCTTTTGATCTGTCGATGCTGGTATATCTATAGCTCCTGTTTTCCATTCTGGTCCATGATCACCAGAACGAGACCAGTCGCTACCACCAGAGGATGTTGTTGATACGGACAGTGTTCCAATACCAGAACCGAACATGCAGTAGTTGAACGTCAGGCATCGGTTTACAGACGTTAAGCTCCCAGGTGTTCCAACTGTAAGACAGGCGTAAGATAATAGCTTTATCATAGTTAAAAAAGCATGATACCCATCACTGTAATTCTGGTCAAATAGTAGTAACAATTTGTGTCTGTATGTGTTTTGCCCCTTTAACCCGTGTAATAACTAAATGAATGTGTTTTACCATTGTGATCAAGTAATGTATTTGGCGAATATCGTGATTTTAATGTGATTGGCTCATGTGCTACTATCAGTGAATGTTGCCCAGTAATAATAAAGATATATATGTCGGTCTGCTGTTGCTTAACTAGTGAGCGCATCCAAAAGTAACAACGCATTGCTTGAAAAGCTAGCTTGCAGGAAAGGCAGAGGTTTTACCAATCGGCTGTTATACTTTCGATGTATTTTACCCCTGAGGACAGGCCAGGTACTTACATGCTGTTGAAAAATTAGAAACGAGTCTGGCTCCATCTCCTTGCTGGCGCGGAAAGGACATTTCGGCATACGTGTAGAAGTTGCCATCGGCAGCTCCAGATGGGCCAGTGTTTCCTGATGGTGTTCGACCCTGTAATAATATGAAATAATTTATCTTATTTAAATTTGCTCTGCATCCCTCCATTGCAATGTTTTGAGGAGGCAAATGTTGTTGTGAAACTATAACAACATTTGCTATTGTAACGTCATCAATCTCTATTGTGACGTCATCAATTTCATTATTGTCAAGGCTAAATTTGCTGTTCACAAACTGTTCGAAATAAGTAAACAAGAGGTCCAAGGGCCTTAGCGGTCACCTGAGTTATATTATAGGTACTAGTAGCCCCATTTAATTGTTGAGATGTACAAAATGTGGAAAATAACATGAAAAGAAAGTGAAATGCATGTACAATACTTGTCATGTCACCAAAGGATAAGAACTTTAAAAACTATTCAAATAAATTATTTTGCTATTGAGAATTATACCCTCTCCCCAAGGGAGAGCAGATGACGTGGGGGATAATGAAATTTATAATTAAGGTGAGGACCTTTCTATCCATGAACAGTAAATCCTCTGACACTGACGAAGAAGATTTTTTAATTTTTAACCGTAATCCCCATTTGGGCCCCAACCCTCCAGCCCCTGAGGATGGGGCAGGATCTTATTTTTTCATACCATTTAATTGCCATCTGGCATTATAATCATTTCAACCACTTTATAATAATTTCCTGCTGAAAATTGACGAAATATACCTGAAAGTGTTATTTCCCTATATAAACTAAAGTCAACTTTACCCCTTCCCCAAAGGAGAACGGATGGTCCGGGGGTAATAAAACTGAAAAATAAATAAAACCCTGACAGAATTTTTCATCAATGCACAGGATTTGATTGTACTACATCTGAGTCTGAAGAAGAAGATTTTTGAAATATTGGATAATTTTCCCTTTGGTGCCCCGCCCTTGCTCCTGGGGGTTGGGGAAGGCATCCCAATTTTACAATTTGATACCATCTCCTCTAAAGATGATCTCACCAAGCAAGAATAATTTCCTACTGAAAATTGCCAAACTATACCCGAAAGTGTTATTTCCCTATATAGACTATAGTTAATTTTACCTCCTCCCCAAAGGAGAGTTGATGGCCCTGGGGTACTGAAATTTACAATTTAAACAAAGCCCCTGATGATCTTTCATACATGCATAGACATTGATTATGGTACCTCTGAGTCTTGCGAAGAATAATTTTGAATTTTTGATTAATTCTCCATTTGGGGCCCCGCCCTGGTCCCTGGAGTTCGGGTAGGTATTCCAAATTTTTAATTGTGTAGCTTCATCTACCAAGGTTGATTCTGACAAAGTTTGAAAAAAAAGCATCCACTGGTTCTTGAGAAGAAGTAGAAAATATAAAAAGCTCAGGTGACCTAATAAAGCGTAACTACTCTATCACAATGTGAAAAAGTAATGAATAGTTTAGCAAATATTAATATGGGCCTATAACACACTATTCTATTGCTGACAAACTTAAATAAAGCCCGGCTGTCAATAGCAATTTGTGTTACAGGACCATAACAATATTTGCTAAAACACGTATTGCTTATTTAAGCTATTGCTTTGAACGACATCATTTTCTTACGGATTACTTAAGAGCAAAGCCTTCTTCGGTCGTTATCATTTACAACCTCTCTCATGAAGTTATGTTTCTGATATTTTACCAGATAAATCGTCTACCTCTTGATTGTATGTATTTATCTACTTGTGCGATGTATTGAAAAACAAAATTACTGAAGCAATGCTTCCCCTTTCCTTTTGTAAAAAATCTAATTTGATAACAGAACATTAAATACGTTTCCATTCATGTCTTCTGAATAATCCAAAATGCTATAGTTAAAATAAGAAGGGCGTAGATAAGTCTTTTACACGGCTTTAAGAAAAATATTATTTCAAGAATTGTTCGTGTCACTGAATTCTTTTTCAAATTGCACTTTTATTGCAAACTGCAAAGGGAATAAAAGTATAAAGAAGGAAGATGTTTACCTTAATAAAATAATGTATACGAATATTCTGTGTGTACTATACTAACCATTTATTAACTTGACATCCATACGGATTTTGTATGCAATAAGCACATAAATGCATTTATATATATATAGCATGTATACTTCGGGGAAGTCGAAGAAACTCTTGTCTTTTATTTTCAATTCGGCCCATTTTTTTTAATGCCTTAAAGTAAGACTTCCAACAAGTATTTTTCAACTTAGTTAATATCTAATTTAAAAAAAGTCAACATACAAAGTAATCTTACTTTTAATTTATCTCGGCGACTTATAGTAAACGTTGTTATATGTTCCTACTGACATTATTAAATATATTTGGGTCATAGTTCAATTTAGCAGACAGATAATACATTTAAAAATTCACCTGTTAATGTTGATAATGTCGAAAAACATCTTACTTTCGTTCTCAGATATTTTCTTTGTAATGGTGTCTAAGTTGAATTAATGCTTATTAAAATATATACCTGTTTATTGTAGCTTAGCTGACAGACACCTTCTTTACTTACCTTTCTGTTAATCGTAGCCTAACCCTTTCATTGCTGTAGACCACAATGGACTCAGCCATATCAATGCATGGCAGTGTCTACTAAAGTTACATGGGGGTGAAAGGGTTAGTTGCCAGACAGCCATCTTATTTATAACATATCAGTGTATCGTTACTAAGTTGGCAGACAACTTATCTATATACTTATGTGTTAAAAGTAGCTTAGTTGACAGACATCATATTTACATACATATTTGCTTACTGTAGCTTAATTGACAGATAGTCTATTTTTATTCGTTTGTGTTTATTTTAGCTTGATAAATAGACAACTTATTTTCATACCTATCTTTTCATTGTAGTCTAGCTGAGATACAACTTACTAACATACCTACCTGTTTATTTAACTTAGTTGACAGGCAATTTATTTTCATACATATCCTTATTTTTAAGCTCAGCTGACAGACAGCTTATCAACATACCTTCTTGTTTATTTTAGCTTAGTTGACAGACAACTTATTTTCATACATATCTTGTTTATTTTAGCTCAGCTGACAGACAGCTTATCAACATACCTACCTGTTTATTGTAGCCAAGTTGACACACGGATTAATTACGTACTTACCGAACGAGTTGTAAATGTGAAATCAGATGTTGCGTCATCCTCCATGAAACAACTTCCCGACTCGAAGTCACAGTCGAATGCAGACCCAAACGCTGTCAAATGGAAATATCAATTATCAGTTTAGTTTCTACGTCTATAACGAATAAAGTAATATCATCGTACTAAGCATGGCATTAACAACACAAATATAACGCATATACAACAATTAAAACATATTTACAAGAAACCAAATCAAATATATATATATATAACAAGCAGTAACTACGCAACAATTATACAACGTCAAAATAACAAGCATTGCGCTTACGCTACAAACATGCCATCTATACAAAATGCAATGTCTACACAAAACATAACCTTGACACAACCAATATTACGACTGCACAACAAACATAGGCTCCACATAACAAAACATATAGACTACTCGAACAACATAGCCTTACCACAAGGAACATAAAGTTTAATAAAAAATAAATAATATCAAAACCACAAACACTATGTCAACACACGAACATAACATGAAAACAACAAACAAAACGTCATCATCACAAACACGACGTCTTTGTATGACAAAGATAACGTCTATGCAACATAGCATTAAGGTTTTTTATACAACAAACTCATCCTAAACACAATAAACATAATGTCAATGCATTAGATACAACGTCTTCACAACACTACATCACGTTACCACAACAACAAATATATATATTCACCACAAACATACACAACTCTATATAAAAACATCCACCTCAAAATATATACACACCACAAACATAACGTCTTGAAGTGGAACATAACTTTTACACAATACACCGTTACGTCTAGAAAATAAGCAATAAATAGTACATTTATAGAATAGCTATGTGTTCAGGATGTATATTAAGACTTTAAGATAAAGATAGTGGCGACAAAAGATTTTGTTTATAAAAAAGGTAGACGTAACGTTTTAACATTAGCGTTATTGTGTATTCAACAATATAACATCTAGAACATAAACCAGCGCTAACATTGTATTTCGAAGGTGCATATATGTCTACAAGATAATCATTACGACTACAATGTAACGTTATATCCTTAACAAAAAAGTTTAAAACTTTAGTTATCTCTTATTTCTGTAACCTTATTTAAATTACTTACTTGATGAACAGTTCTTGTCGATAAATCCCGGGACACAAAGACACAGGTAATTGTCAACAGGCAGAACAAAGCATGTCGCACCATTTAGACAAGGATCCGGGTCACAGGGGCTTAATGCAATGGTTGTTGTTGCGGAAGTAGTTGTCGTTGTGGGCGTGGTAGTCGTAGTAGGTGTGGTTGTCGTAGTGGGTGTGGTTGTCGTTGTGGGCGTGGTAGTCGTAGTAGGTGTGGTTGTCGTAGTGGGTGTGGTTGTCGTTGTGGGCGTGGTAGTCGTAGTAGGTGTGGTTGTCGTAGGTGGTGTGGTTGTCGTTGTGGGCGTGGTGGTCGTAGTGGGTGTGGTTGTCGTCGTGGGTGTGGTTGTCGTTGTGGGCGTGGTGGTCGTAGTAGGTGTGGTTGTCGTGGTGGGTGTGGTTGTCGTGGTGGGTGTGGTTGTCGTGGTGGGCGTGGTTGTTGTGGTGGGTGTGGTTGTCGTGGTCGGCGTGGTGGTCGTAGTGGGTGTGGTTGTTGTGGGCGTTGTTGTCGTTGTGGGCGCAGTTGTTGTTGTAAGGCCGTCACCTTAAGTACATAAGAAATAATACTTTAGCTGTTTCTATAACCATCCTGTTGTTTACGTTGTCGGCTGTTAAAAGAGACATACCGATAAAACAATATATTTTTTCATATAAGTATTGTCTGCACTGCAAAATATGTTTCCTTGCTTTTCCCATATTCAAAGTTCATTCCAAATGTCCAGTTTGACAATTCGATTTTAAGCGGAAGGCGAAATCAAAGATAGGGCGGATAACATGACGTGGTGATATCGAAAAGAGGCAGTTTCGGTGCCCTAAAAGAGGGGGATGTATTAAGGCAATTACTGGTCATATCAATTTCGCAGTAATTGTTCAAAAGTTAGTTGTCACAATAACTATTTCTGGCAAAGCCAATACTTGTACAGGTACAGCAGGTTGTGTTAGATATGAAACGTGTGTGCATCATATATGTCTTGTTTTGTTTTCAATAATTTACATGGAGATGTAAGCAGATTTGTACATGACCTTTTTAATGATGAAACACCTGTTCACTGCAATCCATTTGTTCTCTAGGAATGTGACATTAACGTTTGTAACACAACTGCAGGCATGTGACATATTAGTGAATTTTATGGCCAAGGGACATGTTTTAGTAAAATATTTTAAACTAGTCCCATCCCAGTTATACATTTTGCCATCTTTTAATATCTGCAATTTGTAAAAATAATACTGTTTACATGGTCACAGTTTATTCAAACTGTCTGGAAGAGATTTAACAACCGTTTATTAATTATGTGTTCAGGATGATTTCGTTTTTTATATATTTTATATACACGTAACTGTTATTTACTTACATCTGCCAGCGGTTATGGTAATATTATCCAGACAAATATCTGATGTGAAGCTCTGTCCGATGATTCCAAAGAATTTCAGCTGGGGAATAGAACCATGCATTTTTTTAAAAAAAGATTATAACTACTAGACTGCAGTGTCAAATGTAAAAGTAAATTGTAAGTAATGTCCCTCTCTACGTATAAATCTATAAAATGAGCAAGCTGATTCGTTCTCCGACTGATCATAATCCACGATATTCCAGGGGTTACCATTACGATTACTCAGTGCTTGACACCTTTTGGATGAGACAAGAAGACTAATTTGATCCTGTGATATACATCATAAGAATCACACGGTCGCTTGACGGTAACATTAGCTAGCTTTGCAGTTTGGTGTCGCTCCTCTATGATGTTCAAAGACCATGTATCTGCCTAGCGTTGGTAACTTTTTTTTTACCTGAGACCAATACAAAAGCCGCGTGCCTTCTGTTTTGCTATAAAAAAATAAGTCCTCTCGCTCATTCGGCGTCAAACCCTACAAGGTTAGCGCGGGTAAAGGAGGGAGGCCAATGGTGCTACATGGACCTATCAGTTAGGTAGGAATAACGGGATAAACGAATAATGAACTAATAATCAATATTTGTTTATCTAACACAGCGAATAGTGTAATAACAATATCCAATTATTCTAAATAAATCAAAAAGTAAGTTAATCTAACAAAAACCAATAAACATTTATTAAATTCAAAACACCTAAAACATTTCACTTCCGGTTGATATAAGAAAGCTGCAACGTATGTGTTCTGACCACGTGCGGGTTGTTCCGTTTACGAACGAGTCTGCCACCCCAAGCAATTTTATGTCTAACCGCCCATATATATGTATACATGAGTACCTACAAATGGATATATATATATGCACCACCGTGGGGCGATGTACAATCTGAAGCGGTTCGCCGTTTTTAGACTGTACAAAGCTTAAACGGTGGATATAAAATAGGATAGAAATATATTACCACTATAAACTGTATAATACGACCCTTAAAATAGGTCCTCTCGCTCATTCGGCGTCAAACGCTACAAGGTTAGCGCGGGTAAAGGAGGGAGGCCAATGGTGCAATATGGACCTATAAGTTAGGTAGGAATAACGGGATAAACAAATAGCGAACTAATAAATCAATATCTGTTTATCTAACACATCGAATAGTGTAATAACAACAATATCCAATCACAGCAAATAATAAACAAAGTAAGTTAATCTTAAAAAATAAAAAAACATATATTAAATTCAAAAACACCTAAAACATTACACTTCAGGTTGAGTTAAGAAAGCTGCGACGAATGAAATCTATAAAAAAACATTTTGGACACACAATACAACCCAGGTAGGATCGAAATTCACTCGAATCAACTCTTAGAAAACACCCCCTACTTTAGACACATAACCAATCAAAAACGAGCTCACAAAAGCGATCAGGTCCCATCCTACAAACCATCCCCAATACCACCCCGGTCCAGAATTCGAGCAATTAATAAAACCCATAATCCCTTCTGCACATCTCATGACACCCAGCACGTCTTTTCAACCCCCATCCCCGCCAGCCCCCATCCAGGTTATAACACAACTATAACACTAATCACCCACCCCCCACCCTCCACACACCCTCCCCGTTTTTCCTCTTTAAACCCCTACTACTAATCACACTATTCACTAAAAATCATAAATGTCGAAACGATGAGCAGAAATAAGTGAAAGACAAGTCGAGGTTTATAAGAAAGATGACATTGGTACAAGTATAGTCAGGTTTGTTCTCAGTGATGAAGGATGAGGAGAGGCGTACATGGAACGGACAACAAAAAAACAGCACATACATGACACTAACCACTAATATACAGTCCGTCGGATGGGACTATAAATGGTGACCCGTGTGAGCACTGTCCAATCTCGCACGGAAAAAATCCCTCTGGTTTTTTCGAAAAACAGTAGTCGCGTAAGCGCCGACACAGAGGATAGTGAAAATTTTATCCAAACTTTAGATCGTTAGAAATAGGGTCTATTTATTAAGACATTTAGATGGACTTCCAAATTTTATATACAAACCAAATTCATAGAATAGGCAGGGACTGGTGTGGCTGAAGGCGGCACAATACCCCACTTCCGGTCCTGACTTGGTGATGCTGAACGATGAGTGTTAGGTTAAGGCATTATTAGGCATAGGAGCCGTCTTACAAAAACTAGACTTATACAGTTAATATATATAGGATAGACGGCCCCTTCTCTAACCTATCTGCCCCCTCTACTCTTTTACTCCATACTTTATCCCTTCTACTCATTTTCCTTTCTGTTCTTCGTCTGCTGGATAACCGAACTACACGGTAGTGAAGCGGACGTAAAACCTATCAATCAATCAATCAATCAATCAATGTTTTGCTATGACGAATTCCATGGGTGCAAAGAGCGTAAGTCAGCGTAACTCCTGGAATATCGAGGCTGACTGATAATTGAACTCAACAAACATATTACGAACCTTGATTCATTATTGATGCTTTATGGATACATATGTAATTTGCTTACCTCCAGTCCTGCCTCCGCCGGGATTTCAACAGTGTGATGAATCCAATGGTTGCCTTGGTTACCAGACTGACTGAACAATACAGTCGAACTGATAGTGACGTCACTCGTCATTTTAATGCTGAACGTGCCCATTGATGCCCCGTACATATGCAGCCAAAACCGTAAGCATTGAGCTTGGACTGAAAATATCATAAGGAACGCTAATTTTGAAACAACATATATTAAACAAAATGAACTCAATATTGATTTGTTTTCAACATAACGAAGTTCGACCATTATCGATGACATACATTTATATACAGTAACGTCTCCTTAACTTCCGTTTGGTTATAACTGTAGCACAGTTTGGCCAGGACGGTTCGGTTGATCAGTTAGCTCAATCGGTTAGTGCAATAGTATAACAACATGAAGTCTGGGGTTCGAATCCCAGTCTAGTCCCGATAAACTTTTACACTCAGACACTATTGTTGATTATAATTTGTTTACTTCATCTGTATGAAGTCCTGCAAGGTATGGTTTTCATTTTAGCAACGATTAATTGAAGCTATAGGCATGACAGAAATAACAGTTTCCATTACTTGGCTACAGTTTTTGCAGAGGGAAAATGATTCTTAATACCTTATAATATTTGTTTTTATTTACATCTGGAAAGGGAATTACATTTTTAACTTATTCATAGTTCCTTATTCAACTCATACTTTTACTTATGCAAATCTATGTGTATTGTTATCATAATTATTTAAAAGAAAGGTGTTGTTTGGTTATTTGGCGTTAAATTAAGAATATATCAATCGCCATTTCAATAGTTAAATAAATAGACATGAGTCAAGGTTAGAGTTAAATTACCTGCGAGGTTGACTTTGGTTTCAAGGATAGCGGTGTCCCCGGCTACGCGGGGGACCGATGCTTCGGTATAGAGGTAATAATGGCCTTCCAAAGCACTGGATGGGCCAGTGTCAAAAGAAGGTGTTGGTCCCTACAAAATAGTGGCACATTATCAGTTTGTGTTATAGTTGCTCAACCAAGACAGTATCCAAACATCGGACTACCAATCTTAATACCATTAAAGCAGGATAAAAAATAACAAGCGTTGTTGAGCATTTGGTAAATTGTCAACAAAAATAAAAAAATGTTCTGGATAGCTTCAAGTGTAACGACACTACGGTAATAGATGCTGATTTATTGGTGTAACAAAGCACATATATACTGTGGGCGTGAAGTCAATGTGAAACGGATTTTGAAGGAATTCATTGATCTAAATGAATGAACTTTTTACTAAAAATATATCACTTATAGTTGACAGGACCCAAACCGGATCACCAAACCATCATTTTATTCATTCATTGAAAATTCCGAGGATGAATTATATACATTAATGTCTGTATCAAAAAAAGAATATCGATGGGTGTTCATTCAGACAGAGGTAGCACCCTGGGCTCACGCGAGATATTTATAGAACGCTCTGAGGTCGCCAATTAGCGTTTTCGTTTTTTTGGTGTTTTTTTTGCGAATGTCAGGACCCAAATCGGATCAAAGCTTGAATATTGTAGTATCTTACACTTCAAATGAATACTTTTTTGTTAGCATTTTTTTAATTTTTTTATGACCTTTGGAATTTATATGAAATCAAGTATTTCTATAGTGAGAATTTATTCCTTTAGTCAAAAACGGAATGCACAGTCTTCGCATGCGCCATTTTTCAAAAACGTTAACAAAACACTGACTTTCGAGTTTGAATTACGTTTTCTGGTGCTATTTGAACTGAAAACGTATTCATCTGGAGATAAAAAATGGTGTATGGCTAAGAATTCTAAGGTTCCTTGAATCATTGTTATAACTGATCTATTGCCACATTTAGTGATTTGAAAGTACTTTATTGCAAAAAGTGATCCGATTTTGGTACTGATCCGATTTTGGGTTCTGCCTCCTTATACCTTCTAACAAGCTAAAAGGATGCTTCAGTTCATTTATTATAGGACTTTATTTTCCACGATTGTAAACGACGATACCAATATAAGGTAGTTAACTATTTTCGAGCGTAAATTGCGGAACAAATAAAGACCAAGAAGGGAACTTTTCTTTTCTACCTCAGCCACCTTTCTCGAATTTAACTAAATAACGTGAATCTCAACTGTTATATCAAATCATTTAAATGCATATTATGTGGTGTGATGCTCAATATCGGTCGTGACTCAACATAATAAATAAAGTATAAATAAATATGATGCTTACTCTACCATGAAATAAAGATCGATAATCACATTACAAAAAAAATGACGTGCAACTTACTAAACAGATCACATTACAACTAAATGACGTTTACTCACTCAACAGTCACATTACAAACCAAATGACGTGTACTAATTAAACAGTCACATTAAAAACCAAATGACGTGTTGTGATAGTTGGAGAAGAATAGGTTCTGTACAACAGCTGAACAATGTTGATAGCTGGATGTAAATTAGTTTAGAGCTATTTCTGTATTCTAAGTAGCCTTAGACACATGTGAACAGTCTGTTCCTGTTCCGCGTCATCTTTCAGAACAAAGAGTTAACTTGTTTGTCAGGTTCTACTTCAACTGTCATTTCATTTTGACATATTGTATCATAATTAAAAGGTGCATCTGCTTCATCCATCTTACTAGATATAAACTGGTAGGCTGCGCTGGTGGAACTTTAAAAAAACCACGAGGTGTGCTGTAACTTTAATAGTAGTAGTAAACACTTTGAAATATTTGCGTGGTTCATTATATGAATACCTTACTCCTTATTATAAATTTTAAAATAACAACTAATCGTTTAATTCCTGATCTGCATATACTGTATAGCGGTTATATTTCGCGGGGTTTTTAATTGCGCTATATTCGCGCGTTGACTAATCTCTGCGAATTCTAAACACCGGCGAAAATGTTATCCACTTTAATGGACCTTATCACAACATGTTGAAAATACTGATAACCCAATGCTGTTATGCAAGCTTTAATGAACTAAAATCAGATTATCACCGGACAACTGGGCAGTCCATGTAAAAAGAAACACTTACGTGTAAATGGCAACACTATATTTAAGTGTACACATTCGGTGATTAATTGATTACAGTTTACTCTTACAAAGGTACATACACATTTGATTTTCTTTCGCGTGACGTCACTGGCGGATGACAACTCTCGAGATCAGTGTTTTCAAACGGTTTACCTGTATTTTGATATTTAACCCTTAAATGATGACACTCAAAAGACTTTGCACGACACATGGGATTCGGGTGGACAGCGATATTTAATCCCTTCGAATCTGCACTGAATACAAACCGCGAAATATTGACCCTGCAAATTTTAAGCGCTATACAGTACATGTTTGTTATGGGGTTAGCATCGCCGATTAGTCATAGAAAGACGATACATCAACGTAACGCAGTATAAATCAATTTTGTCATAATCTGCCAGTAACCAAATTTTAATGGTACAAGCACATGTGTGTTTCTTCCGTTTATCTTCCATTATAACATACTATAGATAAATTGATTTGATCCTCACCCCCACCCCACCCCCAATGATATCACATGGATATAAATATTGTCAGCTAAAGTGGTATTCCTGACTCTTTTGCAATAATCTATAAGCAAAATGTGCATCGACGTTATATAGTGATCTGGGAGAAAATAGGACAATGCTTACAGTAAGTCTGCCCCACTTGAAGTCACCGTCGTCATCATTTCCCAAAAAGCAATCAGAAATAGATTCTGCAGTACAGGACAATGTCATACCCGGAACTGAAAAAAAAAGAAAAAGGGAAAAACTGACATTCGGTTTGATTAACGGAATGTCAACTTGAGGCGAATAAACAGGCCATTTAGTTTGCTGTTTACGGAGCGTATAAAAGCAGCAACTTTGTTGTGATGTACATGTCATCATGTGGATCAGAAACTCTCTCATCATTGGAGAAAAATTTGATAAACAAGATAAATAAGAATACGAAACCAAATACATTTAATAAATATTATATATATAATATATATAATATATATATAATATGGGGCAAAGAGGTAATTCCAACAGTGTGGACAAGATATATAAAATATATATAAAATATATAGAATTAGCATTAGCACCTTCATAATATAACGATTATACGTACAGTTATCGAACATTTATTTAGACTACATGTTAATCATAAGGTACTGTAAGGTTTGTAAGTCTGTAAAAATAAAAATAAATATATGGTGTTATTAGGTATGTCAATAATGCATAAACCTTTTTTTTCCGAAATTTGCTTCAAAGTTTAGAAAGAGTGGTGGAGTTATATATACACTGTATATATATACAATGTATATCACATACATGCATCACTCCTGCACAAATTACCAACAAAGTCACGCCTAGTAAACGGTAGTTTTAACCGCAGTTGTCACGACCAATTCGAGGCCATAGCGATCATCCGAATTGCTAAAATTATAAGGCTGTTTTTTTTGTTATAAGTATGTCACCTATGTATCGCTCCAAAAAGTATCATTGATGTCGTTTTCAAAGAACTGAATTTACATGTAATGTAATTGTCTCAGTCAATCATAGGTAATGGAGGACATATTGAAACTCAAAAACTAAAAGTTTGCTATTTGATCAAAAGTATGTCCACTATGAATCACTTCCAGCAAATTTCATTGTAATTGCCCTCATAGTTTTTGGCAATTAACATGACCGGGCAACTTGGGCAAATGAAAGGGAACTGTTTCGAAAACGAAGTATAAACACAACCATATGATATGCTAATCATATTTATTAAGTTTTGTTGAAATTGACTTATAACTTAAGGGGAAAATTCCAATGGATAGGCAGACGGACAAGACGGTTGCAGTACAAGTAAACCCCTTGTTAAAGTTAACACGACCGGGCAACTTGGGCAAATAAAAGGGAACCGTTTCGAAAACGAAGTATAAACACAACCATATGATATGCTAATCATATTTATTAAGTTTTGTTGAAATTGACTTATAACTTAAGGGGAAAATTCCAATGGATAGGCAGACGGACAAGATGGTTGCAGTACACGTAAACCCCTTAAACGTACAATTCTATTACATGATGATTCCTTCTCTTAAACTCTCTGGCGGCTACTTTTATGGGATTATGCTATTTTGAATAGTTTCTTCTATTGGATGCATAATATCTGTTCCGTTTCTCACCTTGGTTCTCGCATATGTCCCCCGTGTACATTGGTTGACACTGGCATGTAAACGTGCTATTGGCGGTATCCGAGCACGTGCCGCCGTTCAAGCAAGGAGAAGAATCGCATGGGAGCATCACTAAAAATAAGGTTACCAATATTAATAAAAGAAAACAAGCAGCGGCATAATGCACTAAAATTTACAATGTCAAAACAGCGCCGATATATTGCTTACATTTATGCATTCTACTTTCCTCACTCTTACTCTGGAGGAGGAAGGCGAGAATACCTATACTTTTATTTTCTTTATGTTCAAGAAAACTGAGATGGTCACTCTACATGATAGATGGGGTGTCCATTTCCAGGTAGCTCGGTTAATTAACACTTTCACATTTGTATACCACGAGTCTATCGTTATAGGCATTGGTCGCATATCTCTAATTGTATAGGACTCGCACAACTAAATCAGTCAGTCGATAAGTGTTTCATACGATTGTAATCGTTACCTAAAATTTGTTCCGGTTTAATACGGTGCCTCTGAGTAATTCAAATAGGTAATTGTTGACATATGTTACATTGAATAAAATGGCGGATTAATATGGAGTCAAATGTCAGGGGGTGTTCCCATCCCACTTCACCGGTTAGGCTTGTAAACTTCCGGTTGTCAAAAACAGACGCCTGTAGCGCTCTTATATGCCACCAAACTCACCAAAAATACCTTTTAAAGCCTTTCTCAGGTATGCACCTGTGAATCTAGATTCTTATCACTAGTGGTGAGCTTCAAATATTAACGCTATTAGCTCAAACGCTTAGTAATAACATAAAGTAAAAGATTTAGCTGTGTAAGTCCTTTATACGGTGTCTACTCACTACAGATTCCGTGTGGCTTGTAATTGTGGATTTCACTTACCACAAAATATCACTTACCACAAGGCCCTGGTTGAATACGTAATTCATCGATAGCAATATCACTGTCCCAGCTAGCCCCTGTGACGGCTTCCATTATGATCTGTAAAATGTTTAATGGTTTCAGTTTATCGCAATAAATGTCAATAAAGGATAAACATACATATCTGGCGTTGTACAGTTATTGCAGAGACGACGTGTAACCTAAACTGATATGCGTTTCATATGTTTGTCGCCGGTGTGATTCGTAATTTTTTCAACCTGTAACAACTGCTTACCAAATTGCTGACGGGAAAACAATGATCGTCGTCTTGTACCAGAGCAGGTGAGGTTGATGATATTTTTTTATTAATCAACTGGTGTTATGCTCATCCTGGTAGTCCCTATCGAAACTGTAGTGTTACAATTGAAACTGCATATGTTTGTCACATGCAAATGCAGTACAGTGTATCTCAGACGACAATACATGAACAATATCTTAACTCTGACTGCAACAGTTCTTCCAATTTGGGTGTACCAGCTGGATGATGGTTGCGAGTCGCCTATTCTTCCTCGATTTGTAAGGAAATTACATATTGAACACTTATTGATATATATTCTACTTGATATGTTTAACTATTTCATGTCTAATACCTATTTTGATGCAATAATTCGGGGAACTGAGGAAATTCCGAGAAATGTCGCGAATTAGCGTATGCTTGAAAGGGACACGCTTTCGAAGTCTACAGCACTGGTAAAGTGGATGGAGTTTTTCCTGCCTTGTCGATTATGGGAATTTATTGATAATTATCCGAGCTGATTGCTCGTAGCTGTCTAAAAAAATGTTATCAAATATCCAAGTTATTTTTTGTATAATTGGATAGCGTGACCTTCGCGTGGTTTTGCAATCAATTCCTCTCCGTATAAAGAATCTTAATCATGAATGATAATGCCAGCTAATATTTGTAGGGAATGTTGCTAAACAAGTACATAGAATGTTTTCATGCAAACTGATTGCTATTTTAACACATTACATCTCCAGCACACACGGAGGCATACACACATAGTGAGATATTAGCCAGGTGGCATAGGAATTGGTATTAAATAATGTACATATATGTTCATTTATGAATAACATTATAAGAAATATATATTTATATGTATAAACATGTGTGTATAATTATATACATGTATCGAATTATTGTTGAGATAATGTTGTTTAGAAGTCAAACACTTACAACGTGATACAACTATCGAACTGTATGTGTTCAGTAATGTTACAGTGATTGATTTTGCAATTACCTTTAAAATGGTCAAAGAAGGAATTGTCACTTTGGCTTTAAGCCAAATATCTCCGGAATCTCCAGTCTTGGTCCAAAGTGTTTGATCAACGTCAGTGGACACAGCTTCTGGTTCATCTTCTCCAGGAATACTAGAGGAGGAGGTCCCTTTGACCTTGACCCTCAGGGTGTCCACATTGGCGCCATACATGTGGTACCCAAACGATAGACATTTCTCCGAGACTATAAAACGAATACGTGACCATGAATATTTAGTTTGATTTACGTTCTTAAAGATAATTATATTGATAATTTGAAGTTGTTATATACCACTTTATTACAATCAATGTCAACTCAAAGCGGTTCACAAATTATTATCCGTGGTTAATGGGCTATTGCAACCAAACAATATCTTTCTCGACTCCCTGGGGAGCATACAGCCGTGTTGCCATTTAAGCACTCCCGACTGGAATTCAAGAATTCACGCACCGCCAATCAACTTATTTACAGCTGAGAAGACTGGAACAAGCGTAAAAATGATCTTGTTCAAGACTTCATAACAGTGACATAACGGGATTCGACCCCGTAACCCTTTGGTCACGAGCTCAGCGTTCTAGTACAAGACTACCCTGCCTCCGGAACAACACCATAATGAGATGTGTCAAAGTGACGAATAATCAAAATATCACATCTGTTAGTTAAAGTAAAAGTTAGATTATAGCTTATAGTGTTATCAGTGTGTCACTTAAGTAATCATAGACAAACAAAATAATCAAAGTTAATTCCATTTGTTTATACTTTCAACCCATGGAATTGCAATATATTTCCTCTGTTAAAGAACAAAAGAGAAGAGTTGAAGAGTAAAAGTAGGCATATAAGAAACATTTTAATAAGAATGATAATGTCCTATGATTATCGAATGTAATACTTTATTTATTTTAAGAAAAGTTCGAAATTTAATGTGAAGACTTATATGAATTGTAATTGTAATTTAAGCAATAATATGTTATAAATGTTGCAACAAGTTTTACGTCGGGCAAATCAGCAATGAACTCGGAACATGCATAACACCAAACTAAAACCGAATATTAACGAAATTTATATCTTAATACATATTCACGAATGTCCCGGAGAGGAAGGATGAGAGGATGCTAAAACGGGTAGCATGGCATGTTTAACATTATGTAACAAAATGGTAAGAAACGTGGTTAAGAAATTATATGGGCTGCAGCTAATATAACAAATAAACCGTATGAAACAAACAAAAGAATAAACTGTTACTTGTAAGCATGAACTTGAACGAACAAAATCAGCCTGTTTAACCTATATACCTTCATAAAGACTGGTATCGTAAGGAAATATTTGGCGGTGAGCAAGGAGATGGACATTGGTCCTTGTAATCCAAAACACACGAAAAAGTGTTTTTTAGTAAAAAAAAAAGCATTGCTGGATAAGAATGAAACTTTCACAAATTGAATATCAACAAATGACTAATATCTATCCCAAATTGCATGCTTATATCAAAATGCTTTTTATGTACAATCAGCGCATAAACATTGGAAATAGGCAGAACAATTGATGAAAACAATGAAATGATTAAAACTGAAACTTTCTTTAAAGCTAAGAGAAAACTTCAGATATTAAATTTACCATTGCACTGTAGTTGTCGTGGCAAATGCAATTTTCGTTTTTTGTAAGTTAACTTTAATAACTTAAAAATCATTTCTTAAAAACAAACCATGACCTGTAATTCACTTCAGCCACAGGTACAGAGCAGTAATGCACTTCAGCCACAGGAGCAGAGCACATATTATATGATATATATATAAAAAAACAACACATTAACTACTAACATATTAAACTAATAGCATATAAACGGTGTCCTGTAGCTTTTAATTCACTGAAGATAGAAAGGTATTTAATATTGCCAAGTTTAAGATGTGTCAAGAAGCCATAACTCAGAATAAAACAAAAGTAAAATGTGCAGTGAATATGTAAGTATACTCAAATGAAATAAAGTTGTAAATTTCAACTCAAGGTATAAATTAGAAAAGATTTTTTTAAAGTAAAAACAACTTTTCGTTTGAAAATTACATGAAAGAACCCCTTGACTTAAGCCTCCTTTTTATATAAACAACCTTTAAGTGTCCTTTGAATTGGTTTTAGCTCATTTTGAAAACAGCAAATCATATTTGTGATTCACCCTACCCTTTTTGGTACCCAAAAAACCCACTTGTGGTCAAACCGGATAATGGCATGGGATACAATAGGACTACTTTGAACAAATCAAGGAGGTGAAAATCCGGATATACCGGGGCCTAAAAAGGGACATTATAGACATTCATCTTTTAATGCATAAACTTGATATCAATTAGATCCATCCGTTACTATTCTGATAGAAAAGGAAAAAATACAATTTTAGTGAAATATTAAAACATAGTCTCAACAGGCCACAGCAAAAAAACCATCTAGTTTGTCCACTAATTTAATGTGTATTGTGACATCACGATGTTGTCCTTTTGATATAGAGCTAAAGGACCCAGTTAAGGATGAAAACTCCTAGTGTTATAGTCGGTCGTTATATCTTATTTGAATAACGTACAGGTACTGTCGTATTCGCACTATATGTTTATATACCTATATTTGAGGGTACATATTGTTGAAAGACTTTTTATTTTGGGTACCTATTTCTGTTAGTGCCTATATTTGGCTATAGATGCCTAATATTACAAGTACCTATTGTAATGAGTAACAAATGTTGGGGATATTTTGGGACATTGTTGAGGGTGACTTTTAACCTATTGTTATATATACGTTTTGTTGTTACCGTGTGAGATTACTCGATGAATTATAATGGCTTCGTATTCATTATGGGTAAGCATTGATACGGGTACGTGATGATATGGACACGGTTTGTTATGGGTATGCATTGTTATGGAATTTATTGTTACTGTTTCCGTTTGATAAAAGTGTCATCAATATACACGGTATATATCGTTATGGGAACGTATTGCTTTAGGTAAGTATTGTTAGGGTACGTTTTGCTATGGATGAGATACAGCGTCATCTAAGTGGTTCAGGTGTCTTATACTTATTATCACTAGCCCTCTATAACTGGGTAATGGTACCGATGCTTAGATCAGGTAGTCGCCAGATATGTGCCGAAGAGTGTTATTTTTGTTTTCAACTTTATTTTAAACACATTTTATTCACGTTTTACATGTCATTTAGTTTGGACATCAGTCTTTGCGAAATTTATTTACAAACATCATCATATATAATTGCGGTCACAATAATCAAATTAACAGTGAGGGGGGATAACTCCAATTAAGTTTTTTTAAATTAAAAAAAAATCTCTGAAATAAATATTGTTTAACTGTTCAATCAACAATTGAATAAATCATTAGTATCTGTTGATAACCCATCCTCCATATAATTAATATTATGCAGGCCCTAAAGTCCTCGTGTATACATACATTGGGCATCAAACCACTGGATATGCAGGATAAATTACCAGAAATATACATTCTGTAATATTTCAGAATATGATATGGATTCAAAGGGGAAAATGTAGCTATTTTTTAATATATTTATTGGAATCGATTCTCTTAAATCAAAATAATCAATAAACAACATCATAATTAGAACAGGATTTGGAATAACTTATCATGATTGCCACCCAGCTCAGCCAAGAAGCAATGCGTCGTAACCCATCATAGCTTAACAAAGGGACAAAGGCAATAAGTAAAACTTTGATATAACATTTCATGATGATTATGGTGCCTTTTCCTTGAGAAAATGACCGATTCAGTTTTTAGCGGTTAAATTTGATATCCCTTTTTTGCCCATTTGTTAATAGAACCGTGATCATTAGTTAATTGTACTGCACTTCCTTTTGAATTGTTGTCTATTACATCATCTAGAACTCTATCAAACGCTTTACTAACATAAAAAAACACGAATCTGATTCCATTATTTTGAACTAAGTTATTTTCAATAGTGTCAAATAGAGCTAGTGGTTTTCTCCGGGTACTCCGGTGTTCCAACACCATAACAATCTAGCACGTCCTAAAATGAATCAGGCACGTCCTGGAATGGCAATAACTGTTCATAGGACGTGAATCACAATAACACAAACCAAACTAATTGTTATGGGTACGTATTGTATATATACCCATGTGATATGATGCCGTTCGTATAATCGTCAAATTGTTAGGATTTTCACTGCAGGTCATATTAACACTAGATATGCTATTTTAATTCGCTATGTGACACCTTACCTGGGAAACCAAGGTTTGATTGGAGCCTGGCGATATCTCCCGGAGCCCGCGGACTGGACATTTCCGCGTACAGGTATTGGTTCCCTGCGTAGGCTAATGACGGTCCAGTGCCGACAGAAGGAGTGCTTAGCTAAATATACAAATATTTATCTACATTTTAATTTGTTTGAACATCTAAGTGGAGATCTTGATTCTGCTATTCGTGTTTGTGTTCAGAGATAAAGAGACACAACCAACATATGTTGAATGCTATGTATGAATGCATGTATGATGCCTCCTATTCGGCGCTCTCCTATTCTTAATCATCATTGATACAAATTTGTTTCTTATGTTCCAAACACTGTATGTAAATATTCATAGTTTATTTCTGCTTTTGTTTGAGATGTATCTCCAGGGAGAGGACTTATATAGGCTTTGCCTTTTGCCCAATCCTTTTAAATCGGATTGATTTAATAAAATATTTTGAAATGAATAACATACAAATACTTTACAGTCTCATTTATTGAAGGATTTACTCTTGCTTTGGTCAATGTCATGGGGTAATGAATTGAGTTGGTCTTGAAACAAATTTAATGAACTGCGATTTCAATGTGGTTCGAAACTAGATATTAATATGAAATCAATGAATTTCTACAAATTTGATAAAAAAAATAACGTTCATGTCAAACCAATTGTAAACTCACACTATTGACCGTAAAATCAAAATTGTCATCGGTCACATCCGCCATGAAACAAGTTTCAGCATTTTCAAAGGTACATGTGATGTCTGGATCACCTGCAGAATATTGAAATTCATATACGTGTAACACATTGTGGAAAATGTTACGTTATTCATGGATTACTTTAGACATAGAAGATACAGAGTAGTATTTATATTACTTTATGTTATTATTCTCTAAGCGACAATGTATCGAATGCACATTTTTGTTTTGACTGTGCAAACCATTTAATGTTGATTTTCTGACTTCTATCTAGTAATATGCAATTAAGTCACATGCTGATTTAACTCCGCTGTTAGACTAAAAGTCATCGAAAGTTGTCATAACCAGGGCCCGCGGTGGCCATGTGGTTAAGGCGTCTGGCTTTATGCTACCACTAGGCCTCCACCACTGGGTCATGGATTCAAGGCCCACGTTGGACAGTCGCCAGGCACTATCCGTAGGTCGGTGTTTTTTCTTCGGGAACTCTGGATTTCCTCCACCACCAAAACCTGGCACATCCTTAAACGACCACAGCTGTTAATAGGACGTAAAACACAAACAAACCTAACAAAACCGTTACCTTGTAGCAGGGATTTATTCTGACACAGTTTAGCACAGAACACTAATACCCATTGCCACAAGAGATACATTTCTAACGTTATAATGCACTTTAAATCACCTTTATCCTATCGTTGCGTAACACTTACATGTAAGATACGAATTTTTATTTTTGTAACCTTCAGTACCACTGATGCCTCCTAAATGGAGAAAATGACCGTATACTTACTGATTAGAGTGTCACAGTTTGTACCAGTAAAACCCGTATCACATGTGCATGTGTACGTGCCACCATTTCCAGGAACGCACGTTCCGTACACACAGGGGTTGGTAAGACAGCCTGAGGTGAAAAAAATAGTATTTTAAACCTGATCTAGTTAACACCTAGTCTAACTTACACCTGATTTTATTTACACCTGATCTTAATATAAAATACACATTGTTTAATTTACACCTGATCTAAGTTACAACTGGTTCAATTCACACCTTGTCTTTATCTGAAATACACTATGTCTAATTTACATCTCATCTAATTTACACCTGGTCTAATTCGCACCTGGTCTCTAAATCTAAAATGCACCAGATCTACATTACATTTAGTCTATTTTACGCCCGTTCTGATTGACACCTGATCCAGTTTACACCTGGTTCAATTATACCTGGTCTAAATCTAAAACACACCTTGTTTAATTTCAACCAGATCTAAGTTAAACCGGGTTCAATTCACATCTGGTCTAAATATGAAATACACCTGATCTAATTTACACCTGGTCCAATTTACACCTGGTCTAAATATAAAATACACATGGTCTAATTTACTCCTGGTCCAATTTACAACTGGTCTTATTACATCCTGGTCCAATTTACACCTTGTGTAACCATGATAACAAATAATCTTCGGTGAACTTGTGTTAACACTCAATGATGCATATTATGAAGTACTGTACAATGTATGTGATTTATGTTACTACGAGATATTTTTATAACTGATTCCTGAAGTACGAACCGATTAGGTATAATTTACCAGCCTCTGGGTATGATAACTTAGAATCATTTAACGGCCCCTTATGTGATATATATTTCACCAGAAAGAACAAACCGATCAGAAATTACTGATCCCTACAAATCTGTCCTCTTTGGATTACCTACCAGCTCCTTGAGAGGATACTGTTAGATTGAACCCTCTACTTGGCTGTCTACCACTGACAAGATCACTGTCGAAGATCAGCATCATAGTGTTCCTACTATCTACAGAAGTCAAATAGCTAAGTCCCTGTATATTTCCACAGTGTCTGTAAAATAAAAATAAAACGCTCCTTTAGAAATAATGCACAGTACTAAGGGAATTAAGTACCACAAAACATATAAATCTGATATCCGAAATTTTGGAAATATCAGTGTGAAATTAACCAAACATCGGTGAGATATTCGACAAATATAAGTGTTGAATTTAACAAAACTCATTGAGGTATTTACCCAAAAGCAGGTTTAAATTAAACATATATCGGTGAGGTATTTACCAAATATCGGTATGGAATTAACCAAATATCAGTAAAGAATTAAACAGATATCAGCGTGGAATTAACCAACTATCGGTGAGGTATTTAGCAAATATCAGCGTGGAATTAACCAACTATCGGTGAGGTATTTACCAAATAACAAATATCTGTGTGGTTTAAACCAGATATCAGTGAGGTATGCGCTAGATATCCGTATTGTTTTATCATAAATCTGTGAGGAATTCCGCAGATATATGTGAAACCCCCTTCTTTTTAATCTTTAACAGTGATATTTCGTTTAAATTCTGCTGTACAATTCCACAGAAAACCAAATAACGCTAAAATATTTACTAGATATCTGTTAAGTATTAACCAAATATCACTGAAATATTTACTAGATATCTGTGAAGTATTAACCAAATATCACTGAAATATTTACTAGATATCTGTGAAGTATTAACCAAATATCACTGAAATATTTACTAGATATCTGTTAAGTATTAATCAAATATCACTGAAATATTTACTAGACATCTGTGAAGTATCAACCAAATATCACTGAAATATTTACTAGATATCTGTGAAGTATTAACCAAATATCACTGAAATATTTACTAGATATCTGTGAAGTATTAACAAAATATCACTGAAATATTTACTAGATATCTGTGAAGTTTTAATCAAATATCACTGAAATATTTACTAGATATCTGTGAAGTATTAACCAAATATTTTAGAGGTATTTGCCGGATATATGTAAGGTAAAATCAAGGTATCTAACAGGTATACCTGATAACTGTGATGTATTAAACAAATATACGTAGGGTATTTATCAAATATACTAGAAAATATGTGAGGTATTCAATCGACATCTGACGGTAAGGTATCAACTGAGGTATTCATAGGATATCTATGTGGCATTCACTAGATATATATGTAAACTAGACATCTGTGAACTTTTCACTAGATATTTGTAAGGTATTAAATAGAAAATTGTTAGGTATACACAATCAATCAGTGAGGCATTAAATAGATATCTGTTAGGTATACACAATCAATCAGTGAGGCATTAAATAGATATCTGTTAGGTATACACAATAAATCAGTGAGGCATTAAAAAGATATCTGCGATGTATTAACTAAATATATGTGAGGTATTTACCAGACATCTGTGCTGTATTTAGTGGATTTCAGTCAGGTATTTGTTAGATATATGTGAGGTATTTTCTATATATTAGTTAGGTATTTGTTAGATATATGTAAGGTATTTTCTATATATCCGTTGGTATTTGTTAGATATATGTGAGGTATTTTCTATATATCAGTTAGGTATTTGTTAGATATATGTAAGGTATTTTCTATATATCAGTTAGGTATTTGTTAGATATATGTGAGGTATTTTCTATATATCAGTTAGGTATTTGTTAGATACATTTGAGGTATTTTCTTTATATCAGTAAGGTATTTGTTAGATATATGTCAGGTATTTTCTATATATTAGTTAGGTATTTGTTAGATATATGTGAGGTATTTTCTATATATCAGTTAGGTATTTGTTAGATATATGTGAGGTATTTTCTATATATCAGTTAGATTGTTTAACACATATCTACATATTTACGTAATGTTGATAGTTACCTGAGGCCCGTCTGACCAATCAAATTGTACTGCACTTCAAGCGTGTGATAGCAGGTGTTCGATGTACTTGTCAAACTAAGGTCATTGATGGTCATAGATATATGTTGATCTCCAGAGGACTGTAAACGACAGAAACGATATTCTGAGAAGTGTTGATTGTCAAATGGCTGTCAGTCAAAATCTTTGAAGCAGCAATTTGATACTCCCCACGGTGATATAGAAATACAAATTATATATTTTTCTGTGGAGTAGTTTTGTACTTCACAATGATTTTCGTCATTTTAAACCGTACGATGCCTTTTCAACAAACAAACAGTGGACTAAAGAATAGTCAGATATATAAGCGGTATCAAACACATGGCTAACTAAAACGTAAATTTCTGGTCATTACAAACGCATTGATTCTTCAGAAGTAGACGATCATGAATGATGATGTCTCTAATGTTCAATTCTTATTGTTCGTTTACAAAATCCTTTGAGAAATTTGATGCGCGTATTGAACGTGACAAAATCCGTCTCATCCAATTAAAAATCTCACGTTCTAAAGATGACGTTATGGTGACGTCTAATTGCATTTCGATTTTTCGCCCGCGAAAAGACACCAAGCGTTTTTAGGTTATTTCGTTTTGGCGGATTTTCATCTTTTTGTTATTTAGCTTGGCGGTCTGGCGTTATTTCGTTATTTCACTCTCTCAATTGGCGTCTTTTCGTAAATAAACCACCATATGACATTAACATTTTGCACACGTGATATCTTGGATTGAGCGGACCTTGCACATGTGCCTGTGTTAGTACATCATAGATAAATATTTAAATCACTGAACCACTTGTGTCTCTGAATAGAAGTTTTTTTTGGTACAATATTAATTCAATTTTGAAGTACAAAAGAAAATTTGGTAATTGCAAATGAAGGCCAACTAATGCGGAACAAATCGCTGTGCCAGTGTGGAAACTTTCTGAGCACGATAGAGTCAACAATTTCGAAAACAAACGACAGCATATTGTTTTTAAATATTATATGCCTTTTATGCGATGTTGACTATAACAAATCCCTTCTCAGCAATGTGTAAATGATACAAATATTTCAAAATTTCATTTTTTTTTTTTTATTGCATGTTAATTCCAATTGGTACTGTAAGATTTCAAGATGTTTGTTACGTAATTTTCATTAATATAATTGTTAACGAAAACCATAAATGTATATTTGAGTTTTGAGTAGAACAAATTGTTATTACCGTTATATACCAGGTACACTTTTCGCCAGAGACGTAGTTACTTGGGTAGTTCGGTGACAGAATTGTCTGCGGAACTCCTGCTACCAGCGCGATTTCTCCTCCACACCCTATCAAATCAACCAATTAAAAAAACCCACCATTTTAGATATAATTTGAGCAGGAGTTGAAGTAGGAAAAATGATATTGTGTTGGTTTGGCGCCAAACAGGTTCGGTATCAACATTTATTAAGTAAATGTTTGAGTAGAATTTTTCTTGATTTATATTTTAATCTGATCATGTGATAAAAGTCTAAATTTTAACTGAACCTGTGGTTAGTGTCTATATCTTGACAGAATATGTGGTAAGTGTCTAAATTTTGGAACAAACCCGTGGTAGGTGTCTATATTTTGACAGAACATGTGGTAAGTATCTATAACTTGACAAAACATGGGGTAAGTGTCTTTATCTTGACTGAATACTTGGTGAGTGTCTGATTTTTGGTATAGGAGTATTTATATAAAATGATTCTATGATAATGTGATTTGTTATGCATTTTTATACATGTATGTGATAAAAGTATACAAATGTCTATATGATGACTTTTCCGTGTGACAAAAAACCTAAAACCTAACGGGTCAAGTAAACAAGAGTCCATGTAATCCTACCTTGACTTGTGACGAGTGTCTCACAGTTGGTGCCGGTCACGTCTCTTGGGCACACACACTGACAGTTGTGGTCGAGGAAACCTTTGTGTTGACACGACGGGGTATTCACACAACTGGCTGTAACCAAACAATTATCTTTAAAGCGAAACCAATCTTGTTCTACCCGTGACAGATAGTTGTCTACAAATCAACTGATTAGAAGTATTTGACAGGAAGTGACATACATGTACACCCGTAAAAATCATTGACAGGAGTTGACGTACATTATCCACCTGTAGGATATAGTGACAGGAAATGATCTGCATGCTATATATAGAATATGTTACAGGACGTGACTAACAAGATCTATCTATATTTCCGTGAGAGTCTGTCACAGGAAGTGACGTCAATATGAACTCGTAATATTCGGTGACGTGAATGTTAACTGATTTAAAATTGGACTGAAAGTGACGTACCTGCGCACCCATAAGAGTCTATGACATCTTGTGTGTCGTAAAAACTGAGGCCTGGTGCCGAGTTCGCCAGGAAATCCAGTCGTGTGTCGAAGAAACGTATGGTTTTTTGACCGTTTGTCGAAAATGCCTTAAACATATAATACATATAAATTAATCGCTGTGTTATACAATTTATATTTATATTGTTGGCAAATACAGTATCTTTCTTATATACCGTCATAGTTCACTGAAGATAATAGATATTACCTCAAAACGAAAGTTGGATCTTGGAAATAGCAACATACCCATAAAGAATACTGCATGACTGACGCTGCATCATACGGGTTAAAATCATCCGTATTTTGTTTATGCATGTTGTTATTGCCTGTTCCTCCATTCACGTTCGCCCACATGATCTCGACGTAGTTGTCGCGATCAGTCCTACTCTGTTCGTGGTGTCCACCCATCGCGTGTAGCATCTCGTGAATCGTAATACTGTTCTGTGAATAGAAAGTGTTACATCTCGTGTACAGTAATACTGTTCTGTGAATAGAAACTGTTACATCTCGTGTACAGTAATACTGTTCTGTGAATAGAAACTGTTACATCTCGTGTACAGTAATACTGTTTTTTGAATAGAAACTGTTACATCTCGTGTACAGGATATTGTTCTGTGATAGAAACTGTTACATCTCGTGTACAGGATAATGTTCTGTGAATAGAAACTGTTACATCTCGTGTACAGTAATACTGTTCTGTGAATAGAAACTGTTACATCTCGTGTACAGTAATACTGTTCTGGGAATAGAAACTGTTACATCTCGTGTACGGTAATACTGTTCTGTGAATAGCAAGTGTTACATCTCGTGTACGGCAATACTGTTCTTTTTCACAAATAAAAAACCAAAAACTACAGACCATATTTCTTACAAATACAACATTACAAAGTACAGACCGATATTTCTCAAAATATAACCTTTCAAAGTACAGACCGATATTTCTCACAAATACAACCTCACAAAGTACAGACCGACATCTCTCACAAATACAACCTAACAAAGTACAGACCGATATCTCTCACAAAAACAACCTCACAAAGTACAGACCGATATCTCTCACAAATACAACCTCACAGATTACAGACCGACATCTCTCACAAATACAACCGTACAAAGTACAGAGCGATATCTCTCACAAATACAACCTCACAAAGTACAGACCGACATCTCTCACAAATACAACCTCACAAAGTACAGACCGATATCTCTCACAAATACAACCGTACAAAGTACAGACCGACATCTCTCACAAAAACAATCTAACAAAGTACAGACCGATATCTCTCACAAATACAACCTCACAAAGTACAGACCGACATCTCTTACAAATACAACCTAACAAAGTACAGACCGATATCTCTCACAAATACAACTTAACAAAGAATTTCACCGGGAAAACACAGCATACTCTCGATTCCACCAACACTTTCACAATCGAACGTCAATACTCATTCGGCACACCTCGGCAGATCTCCATCATTAGATGAAAGGTACCGGAATTGGCCGAATGCGTCAATACTCAATCGCTAAGTGATATCAGAATCAATTAGAATACCGCTCTTCAGTTTTGGACCCATATTTTATACTGTATTTACTAGAGAGCAGAATAATGACACGTGTCCGTGATAAGGTTTTGTTATATTGTTTGGGTCATATTTTTCCTATATCAGATTTGTATTGTTTAAAGCTAGTATTTGTGATAATGTATGGTTGACTTTTTTTATTTGAGAGAGAATATGGCTGTGAATAGTGCAGAGTTTGATGTGTTTTTGGTGAGTTTAAACCTAGAGATATGTTTGTGGCGGTAAATGATGAAACACCAAAAAAATGGTGTGGAAAGGTGGGCAATCCACAGGTTTTGTACATTCCCTTTATAAATCTGCTTTGATGTGAAATTTAAACAAGAACGAGAAAAATGTCCGGGTGGGCCGGGAGTGATATGAATGGAAAGGTCAGCAAATAGGTCAGAAAAATTCTGATGCAATTCAGACACAGTGGAAATGTGGATTTACACAAGCATAGACTGTTAGCTCAACGACACACATCCGTGGACTGCGGGTTTATATAGATACAAATACGGGGTCTGGGGACTTACCGTCACACATCCTGGAATTTGAAGACTAAGTCTTTGGGCGGAAGGAAACACTCGCCCGACATAGGAATAACAGCCGCTGTAAATAAAATTTAAAGACTGCAGAAATTAAGAACTCGCACAACTAAATCAACCAATCAGCAAGTATTTCATACGATTGTAATCCCTACCAAAAATGTTTTCCGGATAGAAACAGTGCCTATGAGTTATTTAAATAGGTAGTTGTTGACATATTTTATATTGAATGACATGGACAGATATTGGACTTTGGAAAAGCATGTAATTTTAGTAGATTTTAATATGTCATGGCGGATTGATATGGGGTCAAATGTCAGGGGGTGTTCACGTCCCACTTCACCGGTTTGGCTTGTAAACTTCCTGGTGCAAAAGCAGACGCCTGTAGCGCTCTTATATGCCACTAAACACACCAAATAAATGCTTTTGAAGGCCTTTGTCGTGTATGTATCTGTGAATCTAAAAGGTTGTCACTTGTGTTGAACTTCGAATATTAAAGTTATTAGCTAAAAAGCTTAGTAATAACATTAAGTATTAACTATTTTACAAATACAATTCCACAACATGCTATAAAGAATGATCAAATTCTTAAGTTTCGAAATTTAATTTAATTGTCACAAAGTGAGGGGGCACTATAAATGATACCGTTGGAAGCACGGTCCCACTACAAACAGAACACAATACATCTCCAGCACACACGCAGGCAATCACACAAAGGGAGATATCAGCTAGGTGGCATAGGACTAGTAGTTTTAGCGCCTGATAAGGCAGCTCCTGTGAATTCCTCAACATTATATTGATTAACGAATATGCTAATTGTACTAATTGTATATCTATGTACTGTAAAGCGCTTTAGAGTAGCTTATGTTAGCTAGATCGGGCGCCATATCAAATGTTGTATATTAATGATATTATTGTTATTTTTATCATTTTTATTATTATGACTGCCTGCGACTCACCTATCACTGAAGATGAACACGTATGAAGTATGCCCGAGACTGGTTAACAATTCCGGCGTTTTAGGTTGCCACTGTACGCAGGTTTTGGTCGCCATTTCCTGTATCGCTCCCAGGATGACGTTTCTCTGAGACGTACCTGTTTGATACATACACGAATAACGATACAATTTACCTCCAATAGGCTAATGGGGTATTTTTCTTTGTAGATATTTGTATATTCAATAAACATTTTCATTTTTCAAGTCCAATTCACACACATGTATAAGCAGAACCAAGCTAAGAACATAAAAGTCGAAAACACATATCAGCTGGACCACGCGACAACAAATAAGTTTCAGCACGCGACAACATAAAGATCGACAACATATAAAATGGACGACGCGACAAAAGATGAAGATCGACAACACATAAGCTGGCCAAGCGACAACACCTGAAAGTATACAACACATAAGCTGGCCAAGCGACAACACCTGAAAGTATACAACTCATAAGCTGGCCAACACGACAACAGATACAAGTCGACAACATATAAACTGGACAACGCGACAACATATAAAAGTCAACAACATAAAAGCATGGCCTCGCAACAACAATTAAAGAACGACAACACATATGCTTGTCCACGCGACAACAGATATTGGTCAACAACAAATTAGCTTGCCATGCAACAACACATAAAGGTCAACAATAAATAAGCTGGCCACGAAAAGAAAACATAAGCTTGTCAACGCGACAACAGAAACAAGTCGATAACATATGAAATTGACAACGCCACAACATACATGTATAAAAGATGAAAACACATAGTCTGGCCACGTGACAAGCGATAGATGTCGATAATATATAAAATGGACAACGCGACAACTAATAAAGGTCAACAACACATCAGCTAACCCCGCGACAACAGATACAAATCGATAACAACTAGATTTGACAATGCGACAACATATAAAAGTCAACAACACGTTAGCTGGCCACGCGACAACACATAAAAGTCACAACATATAGCATGGACCACGCCACAACACACAAGGGTTGGCAATACATACGTTATAGATTGTTCCTTGATACAATACGTACTGAATGATGTGTCTATTTCGTATGGTACGATAGCTTGTTCCCACAGGGGACTAAAGATGAAATTTTCCATTCGACCATCAGTATCGGGCTGAAATTGTAACATGAAAATTACTTCAATTTCCAATATAACGATGTTTCTTCCTTTTGTTTTATTTCCATTGTAACATATACACTAATTAGAAGTTGTTTTACTGTTCATTTTCTATAAATGTTGATGATTAGTGTTGGTATCTGATTTATACATATTTACATTCTGTATAATTGAACTCATTGACGAAAATGACAATTTTTTTTTTTTTGCATATTGACAATGACGTAGCACAGGGCGTACTTGGTACACGTCCGCCGTGAAACAGCCCTCGATGTAGTTAAGAATTAACATTATGCATGATTGACTTGATATTAAAGCTAAAAAATAAAATCAGTAAAGCATATGATAATTATTATATAAACGACTTGTATAAATTCTAAAAAAAAAAAAATGAAACTATATTGTATTAGTTTTGTTGCCTTGCTGTTGCCAGGACCTACGACGAAAGTTTTACGTTTTCTCGCGAAAAAGCTGTTCTCTCTATCCCCCC